ACTTTTTGTATTTTGCAAGTGCTAAACAGATGGTATTAATCAATGCTGACCTTAAAATATCTAGAGGACAAGGCCTAAAAAAATATAAGCTTTCCCATAACCATAAAATAGGACATAAGAATGTGTGAGATTTGTCTTCAGAACTTTCAATAATGAAATACATATTCTATCATCCTAAGCCTCCTGACGCCTTCCTTCTCCGTCACTCCCACATCCAATCACTTAGTCCTGACGCCTCTGTATCTTTAATAGCCCTTGAATCAATTTACTTTTCTCCACGTCCACTGTCACCCTGCCAATCCAAGCAACATCCTGTCCCACCTGAACTGTTACAAACCTCCAGCAGGAGGCCTAGTATCTACTCTTGCTCCAAACCAATTCATCCTTTCTGCAGGCAATCTTTTCAAAACACAAAGCTGGTCTTTGTCTCTCTGCTACTTAAAAACCTTTAGTGGCTTCCCCACTGCTCTAAAGACCTAACCCTTAGCATGGTGTACAAGACCCACTCTTAAATTTGCACCCTCGCCTACCTCTCCTCTCGCTCTGCATGTTCTAACTACACAGATCTTCTTCCAGCGCCCCAGGTCACCATGCTGCCTCCTACCTCAGGGCCTTCTCCCACTCCAACTACTTTTTCAAATCTTCATATTTCAACTCAAAATCCCTGTCTTCAGGTAAGCCTTTTTATGACCAAGCTCCTCCATTTTCTTATTTCCTCCTCCCCCCGCCATGGTTTTCCTTCACAGCACACAGCATGTATCACACTTTGTATTGGTTGATTTATGGAGCCTTGACTAATGTGTCTTTTTTTCCTTCTTCTTCTTTTGACTAAACTGCAAGATTTAAGGTTAGGGGCACGAAGTGTTTCCTCAACAACTAACACTGATAGAGTAGGCACTCAAAAATGAAATGCTGACTACCAAACTGTACACAACAAAGGACAATTTGAACAGAGTACAATTCACACCATTCACCTTAAAGGACACGAGGCCCCGAGATTGAAGGAAGATAAATGTATTGCTCTTGTCTTGACCACAGATAATGCATCTTGCAATAGTGCCTAGGCTGATCTAAAGCAAGGAAGTAGGCCAGGTTAAAAAAAAAAAAAAAAGGACCAGGCTGCAACAGACGTTAGTACCTGGAACACTGCAAGTACAAGACAAGTGGCACAGGGCAGAACCATGAGTATAAATTTGCTGGAAGCGTGGCAGAACTTATGTTTGATAAACTGGATTTCCGCAGCCTATCTCAGGCCATTTATAGACATCCAAAAATGTCCATATATGGGTCAGCATTAAAGGAGAGGCAGGTGTCTTGCAGGGGGTGAAGGAATCTACCATTATAATCAAAGTAAAAGAACCAGAGGGTAAGGGGGGGGGGGGGCAGAATCTTCCATAAATTATGGAGATTTTTTTTTTAATGCTTTATCTCAGAAACTCTTAGTTTTTTTAAATTGATTTTTAGAGAGAGGAAGGGATAGAAAGAGAAACATTGATATGATAGAGAAACATTAATTAGTTGCCTCCTGAAGACGCCCCCAAATGGGGATCAAAACCTCAACCTGGGTGTGCGCCCTGACCACGAATCAGACCTGCCACCTCTTGGTGTACTGGACGATGCTCCAACCAACTGAGCCACACTGGCCAGGGCCTAGTTTGGTTTTCATTAATGGGAGACAATAGTTCTTTTATTTATGCTCTTATGACTTATAATCTGTATTCTATACCTTACTGTTTGCCTGCAAAGTTAATAAAAGGGTTTGGCTTTTCTGATCCATAAGCATTCTTTTCAATGTTAATTATGTTTGAAAAGTCTTAAAGCTAGCTTCTGTCTTTGGCAAACAAAATTACATTGGATCCACTGACAAACTGAATGATGAATGAGGATACCTTCTGAGAAATGTGTCCTTACAAGATTTTGCCATTGTGCAAATGTCATAGAGTGCGCTTACACAAACCTAGATGGTATAGTCGACTACATATGGTATAACCTGCTGCTGCTAGGCTACAGGCCTGGATAGCATGTTACTGTACAAAAAACAACATAAGGTTAAATCATGCACAAGAGAAAATGATGCAATCAAGAGACATGGTAAATGGGACATGTATAAGGCTGTATACACACATTATATATGTGTGTGTGAGTGTGCATTATTGATTTTAGAGAGGAAGGAAGAGGGAGAAAGAGATAGAAACATCAATGATGAGAGAGAATCATTGATCAGCTGTCCCCTACTGCGAATCGAGCCAGCAACATGGGCATGTGCCCTGGACCGGTATCGATCCCAGGACCCTTCAGTCCATGGGCCAACACTCTACCCACTGGGCCAAACCAGCTAGGGCTCAGGCTGTTTTAGAGCAAAGTTCTATTTTTGTATACCGGTAAGTAGAAGGAGCACACTCTTAAAATACTGATAAAAGTACAGTAATAGATAAACTAACAACACAGTCATTATCATTATCAGTATTGTGTTCAGCACGTAATTGTATGCGCTACACTTTTACACAATCGGCAGCACAGGTTTTTTTATGGCAGCATCACAGTCCCAGGACTAGCATGTTGCACTGTGACATTACCATGGCTACCATGTCACTAGCTGAAAGGAATTTTTCAGCTCCATTATAATTTTATGGGACTACCATCGTATATGCAGTCCCTAGTTGACTGGAATGTCATTATGCGGCACAAGACTGTAATTTTGACCGAAATCAATATATCGCCACCTCCAAGAGCTATTAAATGGGCACGGTACTCGGTACTTACATGTCAGCACAAATAAAATGTGTTAGGGGGTGGGCATTGGTACTGATGCTCCACCACTGGTCGAGACTTGCCATCTGAACTGGGGGGCATTGTGAACATGACTAGTTTTGTCAGTTCTCCTTAATTTCTCTCCCGGAAAATGGGTTTAACATTTCTAGCTCTTTGTAAAAGGCCATTTAACTTAAAACAAATACTCTCAAACAACTGTATTGTATATGTGAGTCATTTTTAAAGTAAAGTCATAAAAAGGCTGGCACCAGTCCTTGAGAGCTGCCAGGCTTAAAACCACAAAAGCAAAATTTGTTTGTCCCCCTCCACCCCCATTAACTTTAAAGTAGGTGGCTTGGCCACATGACCTCATATCATATCATTTATGGATAATAAAGAACATTATAAACTGATGAACCAAAAGATAGATATAGAGACAGTAAAGCAACAAGCAGATTGTCAAATTACAGCAGCGAGGGTAGGGAGATCTGGGAGAGATAATAGATCAACCGAAGGACTTGTATACATGCATATAAGTACAACCAATGGACACAAAACTCTAGGGAGGGAGGGTATGTATGGGAGAGGGGGCAATGTTAAAATATGTACACAGATAATAATTTAATAAAAAAATGTAAAAAATAAATAAAGTAGGTGGCTTGGATAGGAACCCACCACCGATATTTTAAAGAGATTCCACTACCGTAAAAAACTTCAGATACTAAAACCTAAGAGTAAACCCCGTCATCATATAGGCAGGCACTTAATAGGGAAATCTCTTCCTAAGATTCTTATTCAAGAAAAAAAAAAAAAAATGCCTTCTCGATCCACTCCCTAATGCTAACTTTCCCGGAAGAAGCAAAGTTAATAAAGGAGATCACACTGATGCAACGCACACAATATTTGCACAAAAAAAAAAAAGGCACTTGACAACGGAGCACAGCTCTCTCTTCCAGAGGCCCCTGGCCTCTCGGTGGCCCCATACTTCCCACGCCCTCTCGGACACCCCAGGGCAGCTGCTCCGGGGAACACTCCAGGGTCGGGGACACCCCAGGGCCCGGGGTCAGGAGGGAGGGGAGTGGTTCCTTGGGGCGGGGAGAGGAGGGGGGGGGGGGAAGGAAGGGATGTCAGGCAGGAGGGCGAGCCCGGGCAGCTGCCAACCTGCGGTGACCCAGCCACTGCCAGCCGGGAGACGAAGCGGGCATTGACCGCGGCCCCATCGCGGCTCGGTCAGTCCAGTTCCGACCAAACCCTTTGGGGCGGGGAGGCTCTGGGGCGGACACTGGCTCCGCGGGCGGCGGGCACAGCGCCGGGCTGAGCGAGCGGGGCGCCGGCACAAGTTAGTTTCCCGGCCGGGCGGTCCGCTCGCAGCCCGGGGAGAGGAACAGCGACGTCGGCCCGGGAGAAGGGCTTCCCCAAAAGGGGGGTGTCTAAGGGCGGGGGGAGGGAAGGGGGGAAGAAACCCGGTCCCAGAGCGGGAGGGGCAGCCTCTCCCCCCATCGGGCCAACCGCCCCTCCCGTCGCCAGGGAAGCGGGAGGCAGGGCCGGTGCAGGGCGAGGCCTCGCGCCCATCGCAGCCCGGTCCCCGGCCCCGGCCCCCGACCACCTGCCCCGGCCCCCGGCCCCCGAGAGGCGGGGGCGGCGGCGCTGCCCGTAAGAGCCGGAGGCGGAGCGCCATCCCTTCCACCGCCCCCTCCGCCCCCGGCGGCGGGCGGGCAGGGGGAGCCCCGGCCGCAGCACCCCGGGCCGGCGGGGCTGAGGGAGGGCTGGACCGAGGGGCCTGGGCCGGGCTGGCGGCGATGGCAGCGGCGGCATCTCGCCTCCTTCAGGCCCGCGCGCGCCACAGGCCGCAGCCTGGACCAGCCCCGCATCCCCCGCAGCGGCCGCCGCGGTCCCACCCCGAGGACCGGGGACTGGGCCGCCGCGCCCCCCGCCCCCCGGGACCCGCTCCGCCCCGAGGTCCCGGCGAGCAGCACGGGCGCCGGAGCCGCCGGAGCCGCCGCCGCAGCGCAGGGTGCTCGGGGCGGGGAAGCGCGGGAGGAAGGGGCGGCGAGGGGGCGGGCCGGCGGCGGCAGCGGGGACCCGGGCGGCGGGGACCGAGTGCGTGGGGCTCGGCGGCCGCGATCGCCCGCGCCACCTGCGGAGCCCCCGCCGCGCCCGCTCCCGCTCCCGCTCCGCTCCCGCCACTCGCGCGCCAACAAAACAAGTTGCCGGTCGCCGCCGCCGGAGGGGGCGGGCGGGTCACTCACCCTCATCCTGCTCAGCGGGCTCGGGTCGTCCAGGCGCGGGGACAAGGAGGACCAGAGGACCACCAGCCCCAGGAAGCTCCCCACCAGCAGCAAACTGCGTAAGATGAACCCGATCTTCAGCCTCATCTTCCTCCGGCGGCTGGAGACACACAGCCGGGCGCAGCCGCCGCCGCCGCCGCTGCTCTCCCCTCCCTCCTTCCCCCTCCTCCGGCTCCTCGCCTCCTCCCTCCCCCGCCCCGGCCGCCTCGGCTGCCGCCCTCTCCGCCGCCCGCCCTTCCCAGAGCTCCCGATCCGGAACTCCCCTGGGCAGCCCCGGCCCCGGCCCTGCCCTCCGCCCCCGCCCCGCGGCCCCGCGCCCCGCGCTCCCCCTCCGCCCGCGGCCTCCGCGGAGCTCCAACCGACCGACCGGCCCGTGCGCCCCGCTCTCTGCGCTGCCTCTCCGCCTACCTGCCCCCTTCCAGACCCGCAGTCCCCCTCCTCTCTGCCCCGCTGGCCCCACACGAATCTCTCCCTTCTCTGTCTCCCGTTACCTTGTAACTAACTTAGACTTTCCCCAGGTCTATGCTTGGTCCTTAGCTTTTAAGCCTTCGCCCCACAGCTCAGCTCTTTTGAAGCTCCCAGATCCCCAAACTTTTAGGGAAAGGCTGGGCCCTTAGCTCCCTGAACGCCCGCGCCCTAGCGGGATCCCGCCCCCGCCGCCCCCTCCCCGGTCCCGGGACCGCCGGGCCGCCCCTCCCTCCCCCGCGCCCGCCGCCCCAGCCCCCCGCCGCCGGCTTTGCAGGAAGCGAACCAGGAAGTCGGGGCTGCCGCCTCCGCCGCAGCAGCTCCACGTGGCTGATTTATAGCTGGGAGGATGGTTTTCTTTCTCCCCCCCCCCCCCCCCCCCCCCTCTTTATTGATCTTGCTTTTTTTTTTTTTTTTTTTTTTTTTTTTTTTTTTTTCCACACGGCTCCTTAAGGAGGTGGATTTGCAACCAAAAGGCCCAGGTGGGAGGTGTGACTGTCACTGGCGTGGAGGGGCTCCCTTGGGAAATGGATATTGCTTGAGCTTTCTCTTGAGCCAAGGACTAAAAAGGCAGTCAAGCACTATCAGGTCAGCCTTGTTCATGGGCTGGTAAGTTTCTGTTCGCAGTACCAGATTTCTGCCACGTGATGGGAGGTTCCTTGATTTTTTGTGTGTGTGTGTGTGTGTTTTTTTCAAACGCCTTTTCGGACCGAGACATGAATTATACAGGAAAGGATAACGAAAAATGCCTGCCCAACATGACTCACCCTGGAGAAGTAGGTTTTTGTGTCTGTAGCTCCCAGGGAAGATGTCAATCACTTTACTATATGGCCAAGTGTATGTAATGACCTAATTAAGGTAACATCCCCGAAACTGCCTAATTTTAAGTTGAACAGAATGTTTAATTACCCTACGTTTTAGGATGGCAAAAGTTGATCCTTTTTTCCTAATTCTCCAATTTGCTAGCACTTTAAAACAAGTAAGCCCGGGTGATTTAACTTTCTGGATGAAGTAGGGAATTTGAATCATCAAGATAAATTAATTAGTAGTACCAAACTAACCTCCCCTGTTTCATTGTTTGGGTTAAGTCTGTTGGGGAGTTCTGTAAGTGCCAGCATTTACAAATTTCTGCAAAATACTTGAGATCCACATGCACAACACAGGCAAATGTAGAATGGATGACAGTATAATTGGATATAATCTTGGTTGGCTGAATAACTGCACATAGAATTTCACAAAAGCCTAACGTTCAGAGCACCTGGAGGAGGGGTATCAGGTGTCTTTCACAAATGATTGACTCAACAGTGTTATCAACCACTTGTTAAAAACCAGTTGCTTTTAGTATAAGATAATGGAGACTTTAATGAAGATTTTTTTTTTTTTTTTTTTTTTTGGTGAAAAACAATCAAATATTTGACTAATAACACGTTGAATTTACTGGGTAATGTAAATTCAACTACTAAAAAAAACTAATGCCCCACTCCTGTGTGAAGACTGGGATCCATGTTGGAACCCAGGAATCGCCTATTAATAAGTCCCCTGGTGATTCTGATCCAGCTCATCTGGGCGCCACCTTTGGCGAAATACTGAAAGGAAGGCGTACTGAGGGAAATATTACTTAGATAAGCTTACAAGGCAGGAATGAGGAGGTCTCTGTTGCAAAGTAGACAGTTCCTTAAACCGAGACTGGGCTAGAAACAGGTGACCTTCAAGAGCTCTTATTCCAATCATATGGGGGAATGATTCCATTTGAAATCAGCAACCAAAGTCCACGGGAAGTCATTAAACCTTTCGTTTGTGCTCTCACATTCACAGAGAAGACAGGTTTCTACCTCTAGAAACTAGGAAGCTTTAGTTTTACTATTCTGAGCATGGTGGGCAGATGTGAAAAGCAGAAGTGGTACTTATCACTAATGTGATTGGGATGGTTCTTGGGTAGAAAAAAAAGGTACTATTTTGGGGAAATTCTGCTACCCCTTTAATTGTACGCAGAGAATTGAACTTATGTGTGCTAGGACACAAAGTTAGACATTGAGGAATGGGCATATAGTTGTAAAAACACATCTTTCTCTGAGTCTTACCAATGTTTAAAAGGACAAGAAACTGTATGCCCATTGTAACATTTCTTGGGAGACACCCTTTGTAGAGTTGACACAACTTTGTTTAGAAAATGAGCTACATTCAAAACTTAGGTCTGGGTCAGTCACTTGCTGTCTCTGAACCTAGGACTTTTATCTGCCAAAGAGTGGCTACAGTACTCACCTCACAATATTGTCACAAGGAATAATGGAGGTCAATTACACACGCAAATATACAGATAATGTGATAAGCAAGTCTCAGTTGTGTATGGCATAATTTTATCTTTTTTTTCCCTCTTTATGAATGCTACCATTATTCTATGACAGGGATTGTTATGCTGGAATACCTCTGGTTTCTCTAACCCAGGGCTCACGGAGGGTAGACTAGAACTGAATTTAAGAGATATAGGAGACGGCCAAGAGACCATTGTCTTCTGCCAGGTTAAGGGTCATAAGTAGTGGATGGCGACATGGTGCCTTCCAGCTGGGGGCTCAGAAGCAAGCCAGTGGGAGAGAAGAGACTTTTCGAGTGGGCAAGACGCTTTACATTTGATATTTTTGCTTCATTTTGACACGACCCGAGTGAGGTTGGTATTACTGTTTTCAAGCTAGGATTCAAAGCAGGCCATTCTAACTTCAGAATTCTTGCCACTATGTGCCTACTGCTTGCCAAACGGTATTAGCTTTTTGGACCTGGATTATAAATAGGCGTTCTCAGACAGGATGCAGAAGGTCAGGGCCTAAACATTTTTTTTTTTTAGTTTTTCTTTTTCCCCTACACTTGCTCTGTTAAAGGGAACCCCCACCAAAAGGAATTGTGCCCCTGCTTGGGTTGTGACTTAAAGGTGTAGCGTACTCCCTGGGACTCTTACCACTCCTTCCTGCCAAGCTGAACTTCTGAGTTTCTAACTGTATCTTGAATCTCCTTGCCTTCAGGCCTTTGTACAGGGAGAAGTTTTTTTTTTTGCCCAAAATGAAACCTTAACAAAGTGTTTTCCCACACTCTCTCTCATCCCCATCCCACATGTCCCTCCCCACCAACATACTGGGTGGGATAGGTACCCTGGTAGGTATTTCCTTCCCCAATAATCACCAGAACATTGTCATTGCTTCATTGCTTTTTTCACTCCCAGATAAAAGTATGAGGGTAGAGCTTTGCCTATCTAGTTCATCATTGTATCCCTATGTCTAGTCTATACAAAGGGTTCAATCAATATTTTTTTTTATAAAATGCTGAATAAATAATTGGATTGAGGATATACAGGGAAGATGAAACTTCAAAGAGGGGTCAGGGCTATTTCAACTACCTTTTCCTCCTTATCTGGAGGTTTTATTTAATTAGAAAAGTGATTATTGTACATGTCTGTATCATCATTAGCTGGTAGGCTATTGTTTTCTTCTTAACTCTGTATCCTACTATGGCTACTCGGGACTAAGAAGAAAGTGATTGTTTAATTTAAATTCACATTTTTGTATCTACTGAGATTTCAAACCAAGGAAAGAAATTAAGTTGTATTGAAATGGGAACATGTAGCCATGGGCAATTACTCTCTGCAACCACATCTCAATTTTAACTAAGTCTGGTTGCCAAAAACTCTGGTTAAATTAGAATAGGTTAGCTATAAATTAACAGTTAAATATCCCATTGCCCATTCTGTAAACCATTTAATCACCTCTTTCAAGGAAGAACACCAGTGGTGGTGTTTTTAAGTTAAAGATGTATTTTGTTGTTTAGAAAAGAATTAATATTTAGATATTTTTGTAAGTGTTTGTAGTTTAAGTTTGTGAAAAAGATATATTGATTTTGGGGTGATCACTTTGTAATTTACATCAATGTCTAATCACTATGTTGTATACCTGAAAATAGTATAATATATTGTATGTCAACTATAAATGAAAAATAAAATAAATAAAGAAGCATACACTGGTGTTGTAGAGTGTTATCTCTTACTGCATAACAAATTACCCCAAAATCTAGCACTTTAAGAAACTAACTTTTTATTTCAAGGAGTTAATGAAGGTCAGGAATCCAGGACTGGCTTAGCTGGATGCAGATCAATGGAGGCCATTTTGAAGTCTTGGAAATAGTATTGGGAATCAAATATCTGGATCAGAAAACTAGTTTTTTGCATTATTATTTGTAGTAATTAAATTACCACTATGATATGCTGTAAGAATCCAAATCTTAAAAATTGCTTCGTTCTGATTATCTTGGGAAAAAAACCAATTCTATACTCTCTTCATCTGTAAATGAAGAAGTTAGACCAAATGATCTTTAACATCCCTTCCAACAGTGAAATTGTGAGATGGTCCTGTGATGTTAATATATGGTCAGCACTTTTAAATTTGTACTTGTATGGAATACAACAAAGTCAAATTTTGCCTTTGAATTTTTTTTCTGACATGGATAGCTATTTCTATGATAAGCTTAAGAGACGGATAACTCCTGAGTTGTGCTCATCTGGAATAAAAGACTGTTGTCACTATGGCTTCCATTTGGTGAGGTGAATGGTCTCCTACAGTGTTTTGAAGGCAACAATGCTTATTTAAATGTCCTCTTAGATTTAACACTGTAGGACACTACCTCCTCATCATTCGGCACTGTTTTCGGACACTCACAATTC